AATTGTTAACCAGGTATTGAAATACAGACAACTCAAAAAGCCAGACATCACCAAGGTAGCAACCCTCACCGAGGGCTGGTGGAAGAAGAAGTTAGAATATATAAATTTAGAAGCTTGGAGACCCACGGATCCCAGAGACACAGATCGCTGGGACTAGGATGCTCTTTGGCTGATGCTGATGTAGACACTGTGGGGCTGGGACCTTGGCTTCTAAGGAGGGACTGACTGCCTGGTGGCTGATGTTGTTGTGTTTTATGTATGTGTATATAAAATACGTGTATGTATATATATATTTATACAATAGATACTTTTTTGGAATCATTTCAAAATAAATATCAGACATCATGATATTTATGCCTAAATACATCTCTCCTATTCTTTTTACATTATTATTCCCATCTACCCCAAATTTTATATTTATTCAATAATATTTAATATCCAGTCCATATTTAAAATTATCCAATGGTTCATGAAAATCCTTCAAAGTTCTTTTTGTTTTTTAAAATTCAGGACTCAATCAGGTTTCACTGCTTATAGTTTCTTGCCCTATCTCTTTTAATCTAGACCAGCTTTTCTTTTCCTTTTTTTTCCTTCCTTTCTTTCCCTCCATCCCTCCTTCTCTTTCTCCCATCTTCCCTTTGTTTTTAAAGACAACAAAGGGAAGGTCCAGACCACTGTTTTCATTGAATGCTCCAGTTTCTGGATTTGTCTGATAGTTTTCTCATGATTAACTTTGGATTAAATATGTAGGGGAAGAATACAAAATCAATAATGTTGTATATTTTCAATGGTAGCAATGACTTCCAGTATATCAAAATTATCCACATGAAGTGGTGGATACTAAATGACACTGTCCCTTTCCAAAACATAATGTAATAATTATAGTCATTTGATCAGGTACTAAACTGGGTGCTGTGCATATGTTATTTGCATTCTCAAAACAATTCAGCAAGGCATTATTTATATAATTTTGCATATAAAAATAGTGTTAAAGATAATTGCTGCCCAACATCCATTTTCTTCTTCTTTAGCAGCATAATTCTGATTACATTTGTAACTGACAATGTACCTAGTTAAAAGCCTAAATCTCTACCCTCTCTTATTTAGTTAGATGAGGCCATGTGACCACATTCTGTTCACGGAGATGTAAGCAAATGTATTGTTTGAGATTTCTGGGAGTCTACTGAAGGAACTTGGGCTGAAGACAGTTGGGCTTCTGACTGTCTCCTTTTTATTCTTCCTGCCTTCTGGACTATGAAAGCGGTAGCTCAAGCTCCATGTGCCATATTGGACCATGAAGTAATTTTAAAGATGGAAGTCACTGAACTCAGGATTTAAGGATGAAAGAGCAGTAAGATGTAAAGTCTCGGGAGGGCAGGTAACTGTGGCGCTCAGATGTAACAGAAATACATGTCTATGTTATTTGTCACTGCCATTTTGGATTTTCCTTTATATAACCAAGCATAATCCTGATACAGAATTCCAGAAAGATTAAATACATTGCTTTAGATAATGCAGTTTGTGAGCAGCAGATCCAGGATTCAAGCCTAAGATACAATCTTCCTGTGCATCTCATAAAAAGAATGCAGCAATGAATAATAACACATCATATATTCATACCAATTCACACCACTTCATTGATTCAGCACACTCTAACAACTCCACTGGCAGAGTTTATGGTACTTAAATAAACTAGCAAAAAACTATGTTACTTTATGTGAGCATCAAGGCAGGATAAGAGTTTTTTCAAAGTTCAAACAATCCATCATCCAGATCACAGATTGATTAAAATCTGTTTTAATCTCAGCAGTGAGCTTTATCTGCAGCAAGCTTTCTATAGTTGCAGTTTCTGAAAGAATACAGTTGTAGAAAGCTCTAGAAATGGGGAGCTTTTTCAGGCTGCTGCTGATCCAGTCCCAAACTGTTGGGAAGCTCTGTGTCCACGTGGCTGAGGCCAGGCTCGCTCTGCCGGCCTGGGTGCTGCTCTATTCTGGGAGAAGCTGCTGTTGAAGTGCACAGTGGCTTCATAGCACAGGCTGAAAAAATAATCCTAAAGGAGCTAGAGAAAACTGGCGTCTTTTCTCTGAATTCATGATCCCCGTGTTCTTTAGAGTTTAAAGCAGCATCCATTTTTACTGATTCACTAGTTTGATTTTCTATTTTAAACAATAAAGTCTAAATAAATAATGTGGAAGGACCACTTGTTAGAAAACATAAATTTCACCCAAAATGATACAAGAAATTTGGTTTCAACCTCTCTGAGAACATTGTCATCTTTTTCATTTACACATTCACTTTTAAGCCATCTTAGGTATATGATGATGTTTTAATAATTAATATAGTAAATTAGTGTAATTAAAATAATTATAACCTAACAAATTAAACTTTGTATTTTGTTTAACACTTAAACATATATTGGTGAGTTAGATAATGATTAAAAATTACACCACTAGGGCCCTGATTTAATTAGTATTCTCTTGACAGGTACAGTTGCTAAGTGGTAAAAATTATATATTTTGTCATTTCATTATAAATTGTCATTATAAATCATTTAATGATTTCAAAGAAAAACAGACTTCCCTTTGTTCCATATGATATTATGAAGTTCCTAAAAGAAGATTTGCTGTTCAGAAAAGACAAATTGAGTGAGAGATTTGTATGCTAACCATTTAGTTCGTAGTTATTGACTACTTTAACATAGTAATAAGGCGTAATAACTTTGAGACTAATTGTAGAGGCATTTGAAGGTGAAGCATGTGGAAATGAGGGGAAAAGCCATAGGAGGCTGGGAAGCCACAAGGGGACTGATGCAGCTGGAAGGCTGTGCATGTAAAATGTCCCTAATTATGTCACCATGGAGTCGCCATCCAGCCCTGGAGGGTTAATGGTCTCCCTGAGGTTCGTCCAGGGAGATGATTGTCCCCGGGCTTTGGTGACTATGTGGTAGACCACCTAACCTGGGACACTTTTGAGAATGAAAAGGGGCCCCTAAATTCTGAAAATTTTATAATTTTTGAAATATCAATTTATTAATCAACATATTGGTATTATTATAGGGACAGACTCATAATTACATTAACAACTATTTTCAAATATTAATTCCAAAAATAGTGTATATGTACATATGTTAAAATACTTAAAACTACCTTATATTGATATCATTAAAATAATATAAGCAGAATCATTATTTTTGGTATATATTTGAATGTTTAAATTAATGTTTTAGACATTTAAGAAACACTATGGCACTGGTATTTTTCTGAAACTTTTTTTTTTTTTTGAGATGGAATCGCACTCTGTGGCCCAGGTGGGAGTGCAGTGGTGTGATCTCAGCTCCCTTCAACTTCTGCCTCCCGGGTTCAAGCGATTCTCCTATCTCAGCCTTCCAAGTAGCTGGAATTACAAGTATGCGCCGCCACGCCCGGCTAATTTTTGCATTTTTAGTAGAGACAGGGTTTCATCATGTTGGCCACACTGGTCTTGAACTCCTGACCTCAAGTGATCTGACAGCCTCGGCCTCCCAAAGTGCTAGGATTACAGGTGTGAGCCATCAGGCCCGGTTGATACTATTTTTTAATGCAGCTTTTATTTTGTTTTTTAAAATAAAATTGCCAGCAGTATTTTTCAAAGTTGCATTTAGGGCTAATAAACCTGAAATTATTGGTACTTTCCCCTGACTTCAGTCTATGGGCCATAATAACTTTTAGTTGAGAAAATTCTCTACAGATGTTGAAGCACTTAGCCTAGGGTAAATTTTGACAAGTAGAAGATAATGTGTTTGGGGATGATAATACAAAACATTTTAGTCGGAGGCATGGTAAAAACAGGAATCTTACTAAGTCAAGAAAATTGTGGCATAGAAAAGATTTGGATTTGGCTGTGGTGCAGACATAATTGACAGTTGTGTCCACACCAGCTGCAGTGTTGTTTCAATGTACAGAAAAGCTGCAGCTGTCAGAATGCACACTTATTTGTAAACACAGCAGTTTCTGAGCACAATTTTCTTTAATCTGCAAGTGCCTGCAGGTGTCTGTAAAAGGGAGGTGTGAGTACTACTGCTACTAGCCAGGGTCAGGGAGAGGCAGGTGCTGGCAGAACCAAGCATACCTCAGTCAGCCTCTGTGATCACAGGTGTCTCACACACTAGTAGCCGACTGAGCAGGAAGTATGGAGTGCAGGTCCACAAACCCATTCCAACTTCTTTTAATGCACCTATTAGTACTGCTGTAAAATTTTTTTAAAACCCAGTAAAAGTGTGAAACTGGATGATTTCGTAAGGGCACTGGGCATCATTCAAGACTGTTCCGGCTGCCGCAGGACAGATGGCCATCCCTCCCGCGCTCTAGATCAGTGCTGTTAAGTAGAAAGAAAATGCGAGCCGGACATGTAGTATTATTACATTTTCAGGTAACCACATTAACGAGTAAAAGCAACCGGTAGAATTAATTTCAGTGTTTTCCCAATATATCCAAAATGTTATTTCTAATGTGATCAACATAAAAATAGTTAATGAGATATTTCACATTCTTCCTTTTTGTGCTAATTTCTTGAAATCTTTTGTGAATTTTACAGTTATAGATCCTCTGTTTGGAGAGCCACATTTCAAGCCTCAATGACCACCTGCGGTCGGTAGCCACTGCACGGGGCAGTGAAGCTACAGATGAGAAACGTGCGTCGTGAATGTTCACCGCGGCGCCTGAAATTGTACAGCTCGTAGGAAGCAGAGTCGTTTTTGAGCCCAGGTCTGATGACGCCAAGGCTGGGTCCTTTCCACTCTTCTCTACCAAGGCAGCTGGAGTCTCAGCGTCGGAGATGCCACCGCAGTTAATGCGCCCCATGTGTCCCCTTGGTCCCCCAGGGCAGAGGTCTCTCTCTTCCTCCCTGTCTTCTTTCTCCTTCTCTCCTCTCCATGGTAACTGCTTTTCCGCGCCGGGGGGCAGTGGAAGGAGCGCCATGTGCAGCCCACGGCGGTCAGTAGGGGGCGTCACTGCAGCCAGCGCGGTGCGTAGTGCGGGCCTCCTGCGCGCCCCCAACACCCGCAGGGGCGCTGGAGCAGGGCGCATGCGGTGGGAAAGAGGGTCCCCCAAGGGCTGGCAAATCACGGTAGAACCTGTGTGACGGCCCCCTCTCCACAGACTAAACCTGTATGGCAGTGAAACCAGGGGCCCGTCTTCAGTTTCGCAGTTTCAGGAATTTGATTTTATCATTTTGTTCAGAAACTTTCAGATCTAGGAATTGCAGCGAAATTCGAAGAGACCGACGGAATGGTTCCAGAATATAAGTCCGCTGGCAGGGTAAGTGTCCTTTGCACGCGGTGCTCTTTCCTCCTAAGGAACAAAGTCCACACCTGGAGTTTCACCACGGGTACAGAATGGAAACGGAAACCGCTGCGTATGCCGAGGGTAAAATTTCCCTGAGGCCGGGATCATGGACTGAGCTGTGTCTCCCCAGGCCTTGCACCGCTCAACTCCTATGTTGAAGTTCTAACTCCCAGTACCTCAAAATGTGAATGTTTTTGGAGATGGGGGTCTCTAAAGAGATGAAGTTCAGGCTGGGATTGGTGTCTCACGCCTGTAATCCCAGCACTTTGGGAGGCCGTGGCGGGCGGATCACCTGAGGTCAGGGGTTCAAGACCAGCCTGGCCAACATGGCGAAATCCCATCTCTACTGAAAATACAAAAAGTAGCCCAGCATGGTGGCGGGCACCTGTAATCCCAGCTATTCAGAGGCTGAGGCAGGAGAATAGCTTGAACCTGGGAGGTGGAGGTCGTAGTGAGCCGAGATTGCGCCGCTGCACTCCAGCCTGGGCGACAGAGCGAGACTCCATCTCAAAACAAAACAAAACAAAACAAAAATGGATAAAGTTCAGATGAAGTCCTATGGGTGGTAACTAATTCAGTATGACTGGTGTCCTTATAAGAGGAAGAGATGAGGACACATACACACACAGGGAAGGCTGTGTGAGGACACAGGGAGATGCTCTCTACTGGCCCTGGAGAGAGACTTCGGGAGAAATCTCCCCTGCCCTCACCTTGATTTTGGCCTTCTAGAGCCTCCAGAATTATGAAGAAATAAATGTCCGTTGGCTTAGCACTCCCAGTGCTTGGTACTTTTTTCCGGCAGCCTTAGCCAGCTAGTGCATGTGGCACAGGCTGAACTGCTCCATCTGTTTCTGAATTGCGCTCTGCTTTTAGGGCTGTTCGACCCAGATGCCCTGCTTCCCGGGTAGGTCTGACCTGCTGGCACATTTTCACTATTTGTATTTCCCTTCTCTGAACTCCTTTCAGACTTCCATTATTACACCCAACCTATGAGACGGATTCTGTCACGATTTCCATGACTTTTGTGAGGTCAGGGGCAATAGTACAAATTAGAAGCTATAAGTCAAGCTAAAAGCTGTTTTAAAATGCCTGTTCTAGCCTCATACCTTTCCTAATAGTGAGGGAGTCCAGGCATCACGTTCCAGCTCTGGGTATCTCTGAGTGCTCCTCTAGGATGCAGTGGTGGACCGGGTGGCCTCGCTTTCCGCTAGCCGCCGGCTCCCTCCCGCACCACTGCAGCCTGTGACTCTCAAAAGCCCCTGCTGGGCTAGTCCTCCTCTGGCCTAAGGATACAGACGGGGGCCAAGGCCAGCCTCTGGGGCATAGCCCCAGGAAGAGGAGCACAAGACCCTGGGGATGCGCATGGGCAGCTTGGGAAAGGAACTGTGAGTCCCTCGTCGCTGGAGGGTATGGAGGGGACACCCTAGGACGACCTAAGGGGCAAAGGCCATGGTCTGGGCCCGTCTTTCCTGCATGTAAGGAAAGCGCTGAGCTTCATTTTAGTTTTCTTATAAGTAAACTGATAGGGACTTAGCTCTCCTTTAGCTACTCGCTTATTAGTCCAGCAATTCCCCAGAATGACTTGAGTTCTATTCACCATAATCGGTTCAATTCCACCGTTGTAGCAACATTCTGTCCTCTCTTCTAAAAAGCATAAACCCTGCGATTGCACAGCCACAGGCACTGCCTATCTGCTTAGTGGTAAGGAAGGAGATTTCCCCTCTGCAGGGGAGCAGCACTTGCTCTTCCCGGCCCGGGGCTCAGCCACATCCTGTTCCAGCCCTGCCCTCCAGTGGCGCTCAGATGCAGCTGCCCTGCCCTCTGCTGGACGCTTGGGCAGTGGCGCACGCACTTCTCCCTTCAACTGACTGAAATCCAGGCCCTCCTGCAGTGCACTTTTACCCACTTATTAGGAAGGAAAAGTGGGTTTACTATGGTCTGAGTATTTGTGTCCTCTGAAAATTCATATGTTGAAACCTAATCCCTGGCGTGAGGGTATTGGGAGTTGGGGTCCTTGGAGGTGATTGGGTCATGAGGGTGCAGCCCTCATGAATGGGGTTGGTACCCTTGTGAAAGAGACCCCAAAGAGCTGCCTCCCCACTCCACCATGTAAAGACACAGCAAAAAGACAGCCGCCTAAGAACCAGGAAACAGGCCCTCACCAGACCCGGCATCTCCTGGTGCCTTAATCTTGGACTTCCAGCCTCCATGAGTGTGAGAAATAAGTTTATGTTACAGCAGTGGAAACTAACACAGGATTGAATGAATTTAGATTTAGATGATTTTGTATTCTCCTTTACATTGTGTTATCTTTTAGTTTGTGAAAAACTAGGATTGTTTTCATGATATATTAAAGCTAAGTTGTCAAAGTACTTACATATTTTACTTAAATAGTACCTTGTGCAAGGACAAGGGAATACTTTTAGATGTTTCTAACTCAGTTACAAAAAAAAAAAAGACCTGCTGATAAATAATAGCATACTTAATTGTAATAAAATCTACGAGGTCTTAGTAGTTCACTATGACATGACAGTTGACTAAAATAAATCTCCTTTGAGAAAAATTGCTTATAACTTTAAGGAAACAAATAATTTTCTACAACTAATATGCTTAAAATATAGTTTCAAAATCTTAAGGTTATGAATCCTTGGAATTACTAAGATAAACCTTCCATTTGCATAGAAAAGTGTTTTTTGTTGTTATTAAGAAATAGAAGGAAAGAGCTACAGAAACATAGAGTGACTAGAGATGTAATTTTCTTCATATTTTTCTTGGAAGGATCATAACTCACTGCAGCCTCAAATTTCTGGCAGCCTCAAGTGATCAGTCCTGGATTACAGGCTCTGGCTGCTGGCCCAACTCTCTTGTCTTTCTTTCTAAACACAAAATAATGGATAAACCGTTACTTTGTATTGTTAAAGTGCATTTGTCAAGGTTTTCTTAGTGAAAAACTTATGATTCTTAGTTTCAACTATGATCTAAATCAAGTTTGAGTCAAAGAATTTGGAGCCCATAATCTTATAGATTCTTAACCATTATTTATTAACCATATATTTATTTAAATTAACTTTTTTCTGCCATTTCTGTGACTTCCATGATTTCTGCCATATATATGTATACTTTTCTCTTTCATATCTTTCACTTTTTATACTGTTTGCCTGAAATTACTTAACATTTTCTTTAACTGGGCTGATCGCAGCATCCAGCAAGGGAAGGGACCTTGGTGGTGTGAGAGATTAGCAGCCTAGCAACCTTTCTAATTTGGCCTCTGGCTGAGGTAGGATTCAAGAGCCTGGTTTTGTTTTCCTGAGTTTATTTTTTATTTCTACTTTCTGTTTATGACAAGTAATACTGTCATGCTACTTACAGTGGTAGTAAGAATATAAGTTTTCCTTTTAAAACGAGTCACTGAAAAAGAAAAAAAAAAAAAGACCAATGTTTACTCTACATACAAAAAACAGTAAAAATGCGAGGTAATCATTCGCGTTTAGGAAACAGCCCTAATTCAGCCCTTATCAATTCTCCTAGACTGTTGTAAGAGCTTCCGAAGTGTTCTCCCTGCCTTTGTTTGCCTGCACACTGTACAGACATTTCCTCACACAAAAACATAAGTCTCCCTAAGTTACTCCCTTGTCTTTTGATCACTGAGTGCCTGCAGAATGCCTTTTACCACTGGCTATTAAAAAATGGAAACTCTTTGGTGTGGTATGAATAGAAGGGTGCTCAAAATCTGAGCTCTTGCCATCACTTTCTCCTGTGAACTCTGTGCTTAGAGTAACTCTGTGGTAACATATGTAATACTTCCCTAAAATGGGTTTGTATAAATACATAATAATCTTGTATTGCTAGACAACCTAATTTGGTTTTCCTGCTATCTTTTAACCTTTCCCATTTAACAAACATTCATTCATAAATTCCTTAGTTTTCCCAAACTTCTTTTATACCCAGTCTATAAATGGAATAAACTACGTAGCATCAGGAACAACTTGTTGGGCTTTGTTGCTACTTAAGTGTTATGTGCTATTAGCAGCATTTGAATACTAATGATATGCTGGATCTTATTCATAATGAGATACCCTTATAGCATTTTTTAAATCCAGTCTTTTGTTGGATATTACAGGCTAGTAACCGTGCCATTGCTCAGATTACAATGGTGAACATTTCTGATATGGTTCCTCCTCTCTTGGGGCACACACCCTGGGGCTGATATAGGTAAATAGGTGACTACAATCCAGGTGTGTTAGGGAAAGCCCAGAGTAATTTAAAGGAGTCTTTGACTGATACTCAGGAATCAAAAGAAGTGCATCTCAACTGAGGCCTGAATGATGCGTTAGCAGTTAGCCAGGTGAAGACAGAGAAGAGGGTCTTAGCAGAGGGAATAGCATATGTACAAGCTTGGAGGTGAGTGTGCATAGTGGATTAATACCTGTGAAGCATCATAAACTATGCTTACGCCAAGCCAAGCCACCTGAAGCCCTTGACCATGGCATGCTTCTGTTAACAGTGACACCTTCGTTTCTGTGGATGTGGCACATGGAAAAAGGATGTGTCACAATCCATGAAGCTAAATGTCAAAGAGAAAAGAAGACTTTCATTGTCATCAACACTGGGCTACATTCCTTTCCTAAGGCAAGGACTTCGTAGACACTTCTTTCCAGCAGAGATTGCTCAACAGGGATTAGGGAGGTACAAGTATTTTGAGACGTGAACAACAGTTGACCTTGCGAGGTTTGAAATAAACATTTGATGGGAAGGTAAAAGCAGATGAAGATGTCATTTCAGAGCCTCCTCTTGTGTACTCTTTTGACAGGAATTAGGCTGTCATTCACCTTTGGGGTGAAGCCAAGTGTCTTCTGGAAATCCACTGGCATGGGTTTTGTAGTTACACCTGTAGTGTGTGGAAGTTTATAGGATGTACTCCAGGGCCCAGTGTGAAGCCTCTCTCTGTCACTCAGCAAGTGTGTGATTTGGGGCTGGTTATTTCAGCTTTCTGTGCCTTGTTTCTCTATCCTGAAAACTGGTGCTAACAGTAGTACCAACTTCAACATGCTTTTGTGAGATTAAAACTAAATAACTACAACACTTAGCATGGTGCTGGGCATGTGTTGGGCACCATGTAAGTATCTGCTTTACTATTATTTGCTGTCAGAATGCAAAGGCACAGGTTCACTGTTTGGGCTACAGGCCACTGATTCATCTAAATCTTCACTTACTTACCCTCTTCCTTCTTCCCTCCTGCAGTGGTTTGAAGCAAACCCAAGACACACCATTTCATCCACAAATACTTCAGTATGATTGAAATCTAATTTAACAGTTGCATAATACTCTACCAAGTGGACTTTTTAAACTGTCTTTAAACATTCCTTTCTAGCCTGCCAGATTTTTAGGTGGCAGATTTTAAACTTTTTACTATTGAGCATAAATTGTTTTCTGTATACATAGTATATGTTTCTGTATATATATTTCTATAACACACATATTTCTATAAGTTTAGAATTTTTCTCCTGAATTAATGAGACTAAAGGGTATGAACTTTTTAAAGACATTTACCTGATACATATTCCTGATTCTTAACATTTAGGATAAACATTTAGTGTTAATGAATATTCCCACAAGCAACATGAGACCAGGGATTTAGTCTATTTTGTTCAAGGCTTTATCTCCAATAGTTCGACCAATGTCTACTACATAATAATGCTCAATAAATGTAAATGAATGAATGGCAGTCCTTTTATATTGTTCGTGCTAATATTCATTCACTCGCTGGACAAATATTTGTTGAGGACACTCTCCATTCCAGACTTCATGGCAGATACTGGATACACAGGGGAAAACAGTATTGCCGCCATTCCTACCTTCATGGAGCCGGTCGTCTCCTTCAGGGTTCTAAACAGGCCAAGCTCCCAAGAGGGAGGTGCAGGGCTGGTGCTGCCCGGCAGACTCTTGGCCTGCAGTGAGATCAGAATGGAAATCAGAGCGAGCATTCAGAACATGTGCAGCGACAACATAACAGAGTAGTTTTACATTTTATGCATCTTATAATAACAAAAATTTATTTGTATTTTGTATGTTTAAAACAATCACTTTCCTAGTAATTTATTTTTATTGTATTCTTAGAAAAGTATCTGTCCAAGAAGAGGGGAAAAAATTAGCCCTTCACTAAAGATACAATGAAAAGACAACATGCTGCTTGATTTGGGTGCATGAGGAAAATACTAGAACTTTTTCGCATGTATTCATGTATTAGAAAGGCAAATGAACTTCAAGAGTGTTCGGTTAGGACTGACTCTGTGTCGTCATGAGGCCTGTGTGGCCACTTTTCAAGAACAGTTGCCAGGCCTCCCCAAAGAACAGTGCGACATCCACTACATCTGGGATCAAGGGCATCCACCTTCTCTCTGTTTGCTTTCAACATATTGTAATAGTTTATGGTTTGGTTGAGCTTAGTTAAATGTATTTGCAGATTACATTATCTGATACTAACTAAACCAACACTACAAAATGAACAGGAGACTAAACAGATTCATGTGAAGAAATCACGAATTAAAGATAATGGCAACAATAAAAACACAAACTAAAAATAAGAAATGGTAGAGTTCTCACTCTTACACCTAAAACAAGCTCGTGGCTGGGTGTGTGGCTCACACCGGTAATCCCAGCGCTTTGGAAGGCTGAGGCAAGCGGATCACTTGAGGCCAGGAAGTCCAGCCTGGCCAACATAGCGAAACCCTGTCTCTATTAAATTTTAATCAAAATTTAATTTTAAAATTTAATTTCAAATTAAAAATACAGAAAGTTACCTGGGTATGGTGGTGCGTGCCTGTAATCCCAGCTGCTCCAGAGGCTGAGGCAGGAGAAATGCTTGAACCCAGGAGGCAGAAGTTGCAGTGAGCTGAATTCTCACCACTGCACTCCAGTCTGGGTGACAGAGTGACTCTGTCTCCAAACAACAACAACAACAACAACAACAAAAACCAAGCTCATTATCAGTCACATATAGGACAGGAAGAAAAAAATCAGACCTAACAATAAATCACACAAAAACTGAAACTATCAGTAAGAAAAATTTGAAAAATACATTTATACCAATAATAATGAGCCTCACCCTAGTGTTTTGATAGATATGTGAATACTAGCAAAAAGCAACCACAGATAGCCAAATACCTTCAAAGCAGACATATGGAACAAAAAGACAAATCTCTACATTTTTGTAGACATGTTAATTAAGATAGAAGGTGCCTGGTAACCACCCAGTGCTATGTATTGGTTGCTAGGGAAAAAAAAGTTAAAAGCTCAGCACAAAAGCCTCTTTTTATGTCTATTTTTAAAGTTTTTGTATGCATAGCAAAAGGCAAACAGCTACATCTTATTGGAGAACTACCAAAGACCCTCAGGAACACATCTGTGGTTGAGGAAAGTGGATCGTGCTTGTTGCGGCGGGAAAAAACAAACACCGTGGAAAACCGTGGATGTCTCAGGAAGAGGGTGATGAAAAGAAAGTATTATAGGATTTGGGTTTGGAGTAGGTGATTTTGAAAGAGGGTTTCAGGGAATGGGGCTTTGATAAGGATCAATACTGTCAGGAGGCAGGGGCAATTTTACAGTTGGATGGCTTAATCTTTTCTTACAAGATGAGAAGCAAGGCTGACACGGTGATTTATAAAGAAGCCGCAGTTACTTATACTAGCCAGGAGAGGGGGATGTTTGGTCATTTTGTGGTTTGAAAAATGTTTTTTCCAAAAATTTTTCATTTTATTGTGGTAAGAATGCTTAGCATGAAATCTATTTTTTTTTAACAAATTTTAAGTGTACAATATATTATTGTTGACTCTAGGTACGATGTGATACAGCAGATCTCTACAGTATATTCATCTTGTTTAACTGAAACTTTATGTCTGTTGATTTCCCCCTGTCCACATTTCCCTATTACCAAGCCCTTGTCACCACCATTTCAGTCTTTAATTTAATGAATTTGACTATTTAAGATACCTCATATAAGTGGAATCATACAGTACTTGTCTTTAAATATCTGGCTTACTTCCCTTAACATAACACTCTCAAGGTCTTTCATAGTGTCATATTGCAGAATTTTCTTCTTTTTAAAGGCTGAATAGTATTTCATTACACAGACGTGTGTTTATGTATATACTTTTTTTTTCTTTTTGTTTTTAGAGATGGGGTCTCGCTATTTTGCCCAGGTCTGGGACTCCTGGGCTCAAGCAGTCCTCCTGCCTCAGCCTCCTGAATAGCTGGAACTATAGGCATGCACCACTGTGCCTGACATGCCACATTTTCTTTATCCATTCATCCATTGATGATTAAACAACAGTTAGATTGTTTCCACTTCTTGGCTGTTGTGAATAATGCTGCAAATGAATACGGGAGGGCAGACATCTCTGCAAGATCCTGATTTCAATTCTTTTGAATACCTAGGAGTGGGATGGTTGGATCATATGGTAGTTCTCATTTTAAGTTTTTGAAGAACCTCCATACTGTTTTCCATAGTGGCTGCAGCATTTTGCATTCCTGCCAACAGTGTGCAAAGTTTCCACATTCTTGCTAACAGTTGTCTTTTGTTTTTTGGTAATAGTCATCCCAGCAGGTGTCAATAAGATGATACTTTGTTGTGGTTTTGATTTGCATTTCCCTAATAATTAGAGATCATGAGCATTTCTTTTCCTCTTTTGCTGTCTTTCTTTGTGTTTTGTTTTTCTTGTACTCTTTGTGTTGGTGTCTGCTCATTAGAGAAAGCAGCCACCTCTGCTGGTCTTCATGGACTGGCCTCATTCAGGAGATGACCCCCATCAATCAGACTGGGCAGAGATTCTGGGGGCCTCTACAGAATCTTTACCTTCCCAGGAAGAGGCAAGCAGCTATGATTTTTTTTCAACCACTCTGTGGGGAGCGGGATGGGGAGCTATGGTCGTTGCCAGCCCAAGCTGCTGTTTCCACTCCCCTCCAGGATGGTAAGCTGTGGTAGACCTGTCTGAGCTTTCAATATAGCAGGACAGTGGTCGATCTTCTGGGGAGCCCCCTTGGGAAAGTTGGGGTGCTGGATATGGGAACCAACCCCTTCCTCCCTTGGGAGAAACCAGGAGCTAAGAGGTCTTTTTCTGATTATATGGCACTGCACTAGGGACAGGGACCCCAGTGAGTGGGTGTCTCAACGTTCCCTACCAACTTTGGTGAGTCAGTTTTCATGGAGTGCAGGAGCTTGTCACTTACTTTCTGAATTTCTTTTTCTTTTTCTTTTTGAGACGGAGTCTCGCTCTTTCACTCAGGCTAGAGTGCAGTGGCACACTCTCGGCTCACTGAAAGCTCTGCTTCCCAGGTTCACGCTATTCTCCTGCCTCAGCCTCCCGAGTAGCTGGGACTACAGGCAATCGCCACCACACCTGGTTAATTTTTTTGTATTTTTAGTAGAGATGGGGTTTCATTGTGTTAGCCAGGATGGTCTTGATCTCCTGACCTCGTGATCCACCTGCCTCGACCTCCCAAAGTGTTGGGATTACAGGCGTGAGCCACCACGCCCGACCTCTGAATTTCTTACAAAGGGAAATTGTCTTAATCAATCATGACCGCAGAATGGCCTTGTCTGATTTTTGTGTTCTGTGAAATAGTTTGTGTTCAACAGTATGGAACACCCAGGCTTAACTGTGAAAGCCAGACTAGCACCAGGATGTCAGTGGCATGTTGATCTTTTCCAGAACTTTGGCATTTATTCTGAGGAACCAGGAAGCCACTCCAATAGTTGAACAGAAGAATACCATTTTCGCCTTGTGTTTAAACAGGACCACCTGACATGGTAGGTGGAGAATTTATTTTACAATATGGTACTTTTATATATTAAGGAAGACTTAAAGTTATGTACTAATCTTTCATAAAGTGGCTTCAAATACTCCCTTCTGTTGGTCAGATTTTGTCAAGGTGTCTTGCATTATATCTTACTGAAAATGGCAGAATATGACCTGAAAAATAACAACCTTGATTTTTTTTTTTTTTGAGGCAGTGTCTCGCTTTGTTATCCAGGCCAGAGTGCAGTGGCACACTCCACTATAATACCTCATAATTAAACCATTAATTAGTTTATTTAATAAACTAATATAAAAATTAGTTGTTATTTATCTTTTATCAAAAATTCAACCAAAGTTTTGAACATTAAAAAAAAATCTGTAAAAATTTTACTTGGGTCTCTCTGACATTTTCACTGCACTTAATCACATTAGTTTAAACAGTAAAAAAGCGAAGGAAAATATTAGGCACATTATATTATACTGTAGAAGTAAAAGAGAACTTTGTATTTTGCTTAGTCATCCTTTTATTTTAATAAAAGTTGAAGCTTATCGGTCAGCATATGCAGTGATACACACTCAAGCAAACACATAGAAAAGCATCTCAGAGGTTGTGTCGAAACGTAATAAAGTTTGTCCTCCTTTCTAGAATTAAAGGAGCATTTAGAGAAATGTGGTTTTTGCCAGGCTGCGTGATCACAGAATGTCTCTGAGCCTGTCATGCCAAGCTTGAACAAACCAATGTGAAGATCCTCTTCAACTTCTTTCTTTAAAATTTTTTATCATTCTGCACAAATATTCCTTTTTACTATCAATCATTTAAATATGTAATTATTAAATATTTAAAATGTTCAAAAACCACAGTAAAAAATGCAACAAGAACCTACCACCTGTATTTCACAGATGTCAGCCTACTTCCATGAGAAAAAAATAGCCTCAGATATTTTCGTAGAGATTAACAGACTTAAAGTTGTGATTTTGTTGACAGCCAGTGGGGAGGGAAAGATTCTATCTGATGTCAAATGGATGCAATATATCCATCTAATTTAAGCACTGTTGATGCTATTTAAATATTTCTATAGTATTTTCACCACATCTTTGTGATTTTAGGTTGTCTATTTTCCCTCCGCTATTGACCTATTCATTGTGAAATGCTACTTAGGATTTAGGATGTCTAGACTATGAAAAATTTTATAAAATATATTTTACAAAGTGAAAAAAATATTTTGTGAAAATAGTTCTGAAAGTGAAGATGCTTAAATAAATATTTTTTAAAATCATGTTTTTTATATTTGCCACCCTTCTCTTTTCTTCTTGGCATCTACTTTCTTTTGTTCTTAATCTTCTTTTTCTACCCTCAATAATTCCTGGAAGATCTCAGTTGAAAACAATTCCGTCTTCCCTTAGTATTCTCTTTCTTAGTCTACCCTAAGAGTTTGGGTAAGATATTAGGTTGTATTGTATTTTCTCTGAATTAGATACGATTCTAAAAGAAAAAACATATGTACTTAGGTGACTACATATCATTCTGTAATGTATATATTTTCTAAAAACTATGAGATATAATTATATCTGTGAGATTATATCTCATAGTTTTTAGAAAATTAGAATTTAAAAAGCCAAAGTTGTAAAACTAGAACTAAAAAAACCAAAGTTGTAAAATTAGGTGCATTATTGTTGATAACCACTGTTTTGATTATAATTATGTTACTAATACATAGAATTCAGTACTTGATTATTTTTCACTGTCGATATTGAGAATGTATTCATGTATATTCCAAATTAAAAGAAAACTAATTCTAATATACTCTCTCTCTCTCTCTTTGTCTCTCTCTCCCTCCCTTCCCTCTCTCTCTTTCTCTGTCCTCTAGGCTTATAATCTGTATCTTTTACATTGAGAAAATGAAAGTATCAGTTGATAATTCCTGCCAAATGACCACATTCAGCCACAGTTAGTATTATGAGAGTACAAGAATAAATTGAGCAAGCAACATTGGAATATGCACTTGCTCCTTATTTAGGCAATATTCCTGACAGACCAAGAATGGATGGCTTTAGCACCCACTCACCTTCCTCAGGCCCCTTTTGACCAAGTGTACGCCACCTCATCAGCATCTCCAATTTGTTCTTGACTTTCCTTCTCAATAAGCCTTTGTACTATTCTCACTCTGCTCCTCTTCACTCCGACATCTTCCCTTTCTACCCATTTTCCACATAGCCAGTGATATTTTGTATCTTATATAGCACTAATCTGACCATGTTCTGCTTAAAAACCAAGCTAGCATGCAGGGAATACAAAACTAATTTGGATGACTTTTGTGACCTTCATGAACCTGCTCTGGCCTGTCTTTTCAGCATCATCCTCAGGTTCTCATTACAGCATATAGCCTACCATGTGGCTATTAGTCCTTCCATGAAAACTGTGTGTTTTATGTCTCTATGCTCTTTTTGGCAAATTGTTTTTTTCTAGATGCAATGTCTTTTCTTCCCCTCTTTGCTTGGCACAACGTGACATAATCTTCAAGGCCTAAGTCAATTGTCACCATCTCTCCAGGAAGAAAGAATCATGCACTCTACTGTGGCCCCACTGCTGTGTGTCCAATCTTAGAGCACTGATCAAAGTGTATGCCATTGGTACAAATCTAACTCCTTTGAGAAAGCCAAGTCTTTTTTTAAAAAAATAGCGCAAGCTTTGGAGCACAGGATATAAATTCCAGCACTGCAACCTTCAGTTCTGAAGACTTTAGATATAACCTTTTCTATGCAAAGAGAATAATCATGTCTATCTTGGGGTGCTATTATGTACAAGGCAATCAGTAGATGTATTGTTTGTTCTCCATACATGCTGTCCAGATTATGATCTCTTTATGGTTCTATTCAACCTTCTATCTTTGCATCCAGTACCTAACATAGAGTCTAGCATGAGGTAAACTCTCAAATATTTATTGAATGAACAATAGCATATATAAGCAGAAATTAACTATAGGCATTGGCAAAGAATGCAACTGAAATGTATATGATATACTCCATTAATATCAAGTATATAAATTCTAGCTGGACTTGAGGTATAGTTAACACGGAGAGAAAATCGTATCTTGTCATTTTATAATAAAGTGTTTTCAATTTGACTTCTGATTAGGTAGGCAAACCAGAAACCCAAATTCTATTTCCTTGATTTACTTGTAGAAAATTATTTTCAGGCTGAAATAACTGGCTTCTATCCTTTAAACTCAGAATTTATAACTCACAGGTCCTCAATCATTCGAAATTTGGTTAAATACAAAATCAAACCTAATTCAGACCATTAATTACAGAGCTCCTAATGTTCTATTCAGCTTTGATAGCTATATTCTCTAGAAGAAAACAGCAACAATTATAAAACAGTTATTTCTGTTGGCTAGGAAATTTCAAGTTCTTTGGGATTTTACCCAACTCTGCATTTATTCACATATTTTCCCTCTTGTTAGGAGTAAGGTGCATGGGGAAATTGCACAGATTAGCTTCAGCTACTTTGCATTCAGCATCACTAAGAGTAAGCCAGGGCTGTGGAGCAGGAAGAGTGGACAGATGTCATTTTGCCAGCCCCGTGTTTGTTCCTTCTTCTGGTCATAGCACCCTCATTTTGCATTAGGGATTTAACCCCCTGCACTGCCTCAGTCTTGCCAACACTGTAAACCAAGGCATTTTTTTTTCCTGTCCCTTGCCATCAGTGGTGACCTATCTAGGCCAACCAGACGCTCTCTACCCATCTCGGACACCATACCCAGATGTCAAGGTGTCTATTCATTCCTGCTTACCAGGTCTCTAGAGCTGCCCTTCGTTCCAGTCTGCCCAAAGTCCAGTTCTGCAGCTTCCCTTCAATTCTGGGAACTACCTGAGGTCCTTACAATAAATCCCTTTTCACTTACAAAGGTTGAGTTCCTGTTACTTTTAATCAGGGAATCCTAACTAATACATACAGGAAAATTTATTTTACAGGAAAAGATATTTTAATTCCAGCATTATCTTATGCAATATCAAGTAGTTACACCCAATCAATCCACTATACAATAATCAATGTCTGACAACAGATGGCTCCTGTGACTGGGAGCGGGCTGCCAGCCCTCCAGAGCTCGGCTTTCTCATCTGTAAAATGATGATCATAAAACTACTAGATACTCTTTTTTTACTAGGCTTGCTGTGACAGCAAATTTTTTTAAAAAAAGAAAGTGTTTTTCGAATCACGAAGCACTCTATAACGTAAGGTATTTAACTTACATTTATTCTTTTAATAAACATTTCCTACAACACAAACTGTTCCTACAAAAAAATTACCATGAGGTTATTTTTGTGTTCATAGTGAGTGTTTCAAAGAAGTAGTCAGCTCTATCCAAAAGTGTGAAATCCACATATCTGAACGCTGACAATGTCCAGCATGTGTGATGGCTCCTTGTTTTGCTTTGGTTTGCAACAATCTCCAGATGGCCATTGCTTTGTTTTGTGTTTAATGAGTTTGCATAGTAAAGAGTATATACTTAGATATTTTGAGAGAGTTTTGAGGGAGAATATCATGGTATCTGTTGAACAATTTCAGTTGGCCTTTTTCTATGTCAAAATGTAACATGAGGCAGGTCGGGTGAAGGGGCTTACACCTGTAATCCCAGCACTTTGGGAGGCTGAGGTGGGCAGATCACTTGAGGTCAGGAATTCAAGACCAGCTTGGCCAACATGTCAAAACCCTGTCTCTACAAAAAATATAAAAAATTAGCTGGATGTGGTAGTGCATGCCTGTAATCCCAGCTATTCAGGAGGCTAAGGCAGGAGAATTGCTTGAGCCCAGGAGGCAGAGGTTGCAGTGAGCTGATATGCCACTGCACTCCAGCCTGGGCAACAGGGTGAAACTCCGTCTCAAAAAAAAAAAAAAAAAAAAAAAGTAACACCAATCCTCATTGTCCTTCTTGAGGGGCAGCGATGTATAGTGGAAAAACACACTTAATGTCAACTGGAGCATTGGGGTCCAAGGCCATGCTCCTCATTCATTATCTTTGTGTCTTTAGGAGATTGGTTTTCTATTCTACACCCTTTCCTTGTCTGCCAAATAAACCCAATCTGTCCTAAGTTGTAAGAATTCAATGAGATCATGAATTCTTTCTGAAGTGCAAAGCACTAGCAAAATGTAAGTCAATGTTTATCCATCAGGAGTTATTATTTTCCTCCAATCAAACAGTTACTTAATACTACTCACATTTCAATCATCTCATTATCACCTTCAGCCAAACAGACATTCTCGCCTTTTTTTCTCCACTAGGGTATTCTATGATTGATATTAAGAAAGTACAATGTGTGACTCAATGTCATTTAGACGAGGCTGGTCTGTGTGAACAGGGACAAGCAGCAGTTCTATTCTCTTGGAGCTTGTTAGGTATCTGCATTGCTGGTTCCACTGCAGACAGGCCAAGGCAGACCCCTGTGGCAGAGCCCAGGAATCCACGTTTGAGTATTTGAGTAGGCGTCTGAGCAGGTGCTTGAGCAAGTGGTTGAATAGATGTTTGAGCAGGTGTTTGAGCAGGCCCTTCAGGGGATTCTGATGTCCACTTAGGTAGAGAAGCACTGGCTCAGACCTTTTCATTCCAGCTTCTCATTTCTACACCAAATGTAATTTTTCATTTTACTCATAATAACTATAATATTAATGATAGTACAATCACAGTGATGGTATAATAATAATTATAATAACCATGTTGCCCCTCCTTCCTTTAGGCTAATATTCATCTGAAGCCTGAGTGACTCCAAAAAGATGACACTCTTCTGTCCACCAAAACCTTCCAGAGGCTTCCTGTGCTCACTTGAAGTAAAATCCGAAGTGCTGACTGTGATGACCGGCTCCCCTAGCAGGCCTGCTGCGGGACAGCTTCTCCACCAGCCTCCTGTTCAAGGCCTCTACTTCTGCCACTGTGGCCTCTGCATTGTTCCTGAGCATCCCAAGCACATTCCCACTTCAAGGCCTTGGTGCTTGCCATTTGTCTGCTTCTCTCCTGGTCTATGCCTGGCTGGTTCTTGTTTCTTTTGAACTCTGACCAGGTGCACCTCATGAGAGAGGCCTTCCTTGACCTCCGTCCTCCATTCCTGTCACTAGCCCCATCTGACAGGGTTGCCCTCCCCCTCCCCTGCCCCCATCCCTGTGTAAACCCCATGAGAGAATGGCCTCTGTCCTTAGGCAGATGTGTCTCCCCAGAACCCAGGACAGGACAGTCACACGGGAGGCAACCAACACACTTTTCTTAAATGATGGAATAAAGTACTGACTGGGTTTCAAGCACTGATGTGGTTTGGCTCTGTGTCTCCACCCAATTCTCATCTCCAATTGTAATCCCCATGTGTCCAGGAAGGACCTGGTGGGAAGTGACTGGATCATGGGGACAGTTTCCCCCATGCTGTTCTTATGACAGTGAGGGATTTCTCACAATATCTAATGATTTAAAAATGGCAGTTTCCCCTGCTCTCTCTCTCTCCTGCTGCCATATAAGATATGTCTTGCTTCCCCTTTGCCTTCCACCATGATTGTAAGTTTCCTGAGGCCTTCTCAGCTATGTGGAACTCTGAGTCAACTAAGCCTCTGTTCTTTTTAAATTACCCAGTCTCAGGTATTCTTTATAAGTGAAAATGGACTAATACAGAGAATTGGTACCAAGGTAGTAGGGCATTGCTATAAGATACCTTAGAATGTGCAAGCAACTTTGGAACTGGGTAACTGACAGAGGTTGGAACAGTTTGGAGGCCTCAGAAGAAGACAGGAGGATGTGAGAAAAGTTTGGAACTTCCTAGAAATGTATTGAATGGTTTTAACCAAAATGCTCATAGTGACATGGACAATGAAGTCCATACTGAGGTGGTCTCAGATGGAGATGAGAAACTTATTGGAAACTGGAGCAAAGGTCACTTTTGCTATGCTTTAGCAAAAAGGCATGGCATTTTGCCCTGCCCTAGAGATCTGTGGAACTTTGAACTTGAGAGAGATGATTTAGGGTATGTGGTGGAAGAAATTTCTAACCAGCAAAGCACTCAAGAAGTGACCTGGATTTTCCTGAAAGTGTACAGTTATATGTGTTCACAAAGAGATGGTTTGAAATTGGAGCTTATGTTTAAAAGGGAAACAAAGTATAAAAGTTTGGGAAATTTGCAGCCTGACCATATGGTAGAAAAGAAAAACTCATTTTCTGGGGAGAAATTCAAGCCAGCTGCTGAAATTTGCATAAGTAATGAGGAACCAAATCTTAATAGCCAAGACAATGGAGAAAATGTCTCTAGGGCATGTCAGATATCTTAGCAGTAGGCCCTCTCATCACAGGCCCAGAGACCTAGGAGGAAAAAATGGTTTCGTGGGCCAGGCCCAGGGCCCAACTTCTCTGTGCAGCTTTGGTACTTGGTTCCCTGTGTTCTAACCACTCCAGCTCCAGTACTGGCCAAAAGAGGCCAAGGTACAGCTTGGGCCATTGCAAACCCCAAGCCTTGGCAGCTTCCACATGGTGTTGGGCCTGTGGGTGCATAAAAGACAAAACTTGAGGTTTGGGAGCCTCCACCTAGATTTCAGAGAATGTATGGAAAAGCCTGGATGTCCAGGCAGAAGTTTGCTGCAGGGGTGGACCTCTCATGAAGAATCTCTGCTAGAGCAGTGCAGAAGGGAAATGTGGGGTTGGAGCCCCCAAAAAGAATCCCCACTGTGGCACTGCCTAGTGGAGCTGTGAGAAGAGGGCCACTGTCCTTCAGACCCCACAATGGTGGATCCACTGACAGCTTGCACCATTTGCTTGGAGAAGCTGCAGGCACTCAACACCAGCCTGTGAAAGCAGCTGTGGGGGCAGAGCTGCCCAAGGCCTTGGGAGCTCATCTCTGGATGTGATACATGAAGTCAAAGGAGATTTTGGCTCATCAAAGGAGATTAATGGCTGTTTGGTCATGTTTCAGACTTGCATGGGACCTGTGGCCCCTTTGTTTTGAGCATTTTTTCCCATTTGGAATGGGAGCATTTACCCAACGTTTGTACCTCCATTGTATCTTGGAAGTAACTAACTTGCTTTTGATTGTACAGGCTCATAGGTGGAAGGGACTAGCCTTGTCTGAGATGAGATTTGGACTTTGTACTTTTGAGTTAATGCTGGAATGAATTCAGACTTTGGGGATTACTGGGAAGGCATGGTTGTATTTGGCAACGTGAGAAGGACATGAGATTTGGGAGAGGTCGGGGTGGAATGATACGGTTTGGATCTGTGTCTCCACCCAAATCTCATGTCAAATTGCAATCCTCAGTGTTGAAGGTGGGACCTGGTAGGAGGTGACTGGATCATGGGGGTGGGTTTCTCATGAATGGTTTAGCACCATCCACTTGGTACTGTTCTCAAAATAGTGAGTATGTTCTCCTGAGATCTGGTTGTTTAAAGTGTGTGGCATCTCCCCTTCCCCATTCCCTTGCTTACTACTGCTCTTGCCATGTAAGATGTTTCCCCCTTTGCCTTCTACCCTGATTGGAAGTTTACTGAGGCTTTCCAAGGAGCAGAAACCTCTATGCTTCCTGTATGGCCTGAAGAACTGTGAACCAGTTAAACTTCCTTTCTTATAAATTACTCAGTCTCAGGTATTTATTTATGGCAATTCAAGAATGAACGAATACAGATATAAATACAAATGTTTTATTTACTAAGACTGCCAGCTTTTGGCTCTCCTTTCTGACAGTTCAACAGAGTCCTTCTTAGGTGTCCAGTCAAAATATTGAGTATTACACTTTGACTAAGCACAGCTTCCTCTCTGGATGTTTTTCCTCCACTATCTTGAAAAACAGTTCAATTCAAAATGTTCTATGAAATGAAAAAGAAAAGTAATAATTTAACCATGAGAAAAGCTTTTTTTTTTTTTTTTTTAAATTAGATAGTGTCTCATTCTGTCACACAGGCTGGAGTGCAGTGGCACAATCTTGGTATAGCCTCAAACTCTTCTGGGCTCAAGCAATCCTCCCACTTGAGCCTCCTGAGTAGTTGGGACTACAGGCACGCATCACTATGCCTGGCTAATTTTTGTAGTGATTTTTTTTTTGTAGTGATGGGGTCTCCCCATGTTGCCCAGGCTGGTCTTTAACTCCTGGCTTCAATGATTCATCTGCCTCAGCCTCCCAAAGTGCTGGGATTACAGACATGAGCCATTGTGCCTGGCCTAGTGTCTTCTTAATTATGAAATAATAGCCAATAATCAGTAGCCATTTGAGGAAAGCCAATGAAGAAAGAAACTAAGAAAGAAAAAAAGAAAAAGAAAAAGGAGGTAAGGAGATCAAAGAAGAAAAGGAGAAAGAATGAACGAACCAAAATAGGAAAAAGATAAAGGAACTCAATGGGGAAAAATGATAAATATGTTAGAATAAAACGATAAAAATTATATTTAAGACCCTTGGAAAAATAAGAGATGACATTTTATTCAAGAAAACATATCAGAAGGCTAAGGGCAGAAAAAGGGAACAACACAGAACTCTGAAAAATTTAAGAACTGAAACAAAAATTCGGAAGATAGGGTGGAGAAAGTCTTCCAGAAGCAATTAAAAAGGTATAAAGAGAAAAACAGGAAAGATAATACTTTTTTAAAAAGTCTGTGAGTTTTAATGTCTCTTTAAGAATTTCATTAAAAGAATAGAAAAAAATGGAAGAGAAGAAAATATTTCTTAAAATGCAGTTTTTCTGTTTTTCGTTTTTTTTTTTTTTTTTTTTAATTTGAAGGACATGGCGAGACACTGTAGCTCACGTCTGTAATCCCAGCACTTTGGGAGGCTGAGGTGAGAGGATCTCTTGAGTCCAGGAGTTTGTCTGGGCAACAAAGTGAGATCCCCATCTCTATATGAAAAAAAAAATGTTTTAAGAATAATAAAAAATCTGAAGGACACCAGTTTCTGGGAAATTTAAGAAGAAATAATGATAGGGACCTTGAAAATCAAGCTAATATAAATGAGTTAATTCATAAAACTGCACAGAAAAGAAAATGTGTTTATAGTACACTGATTGGCTCTGGAGTTTAAAAAGAAAACAGATTGTCAATAGTGTTTACACTCAGTATTAATCAGGAAACTGTGATCTGCTTCTATTTTCCTCCCAATAGAATAAATTCTTAAATTTCCCACCAGTGCTCTCTGAACGCCTTTGGACCTGGTCCTCTGCAGAGCCCACACCTCCCGCAGTTTATCAGGTGCCGTTTTCCTTCTTCCCTAGAAGCCCCCCTTCTTCCCTAGAGCTCAGGCTCCAGTTGGCATTGGGTGCTCCCAAGCTCTGCTGCATGGCTGTCCCCCTGGGCCCCACTTCCCTCTTTTCTGTGTCTCATGGCCTGTTCTCTGGAACCTGCCTTTTATTCTATTCTGATGCATGCTTGGTGTCAGGGAACACACCCTCTTTTCAACAGAGTTGTGTTTTAGTGTTAGAGAAAAGCAGGGGCAACCAGGACCTAAATCCCTGTCTTTCGCATCGGTGTCAGGAGAATCTCTCTAAACAAATCAACAAACATATTTGAGACAGTTTCTACCTAAAACTGGAAACAGGAAGGTCAGTGCTGAGGAAAGAGCTAAATGAATTGAATGTGGCAGGCTCTGAGGAGGATGCCCAGGAGGAGTGAAGGGGCAGGACAGGGACAGACTATGTGACTTTAATGGCATGGAAATCTATCACTGCAATGGTTCAAACATTAATTTTAAATAAATACATAATATAAAAATTTTAATAAATGTATTTAAATAAATTTTAGATAATAAGTATAATAAATTATACGTTTCAGGAAAAGTATAATTTCTTTTTGATACTTTCCCTATACTATTTCTACATTTTCCATTTTTTTCTATACTTTCCTAACTTAGGAATCTATGATAAAGGTATTCCTGGAACTGGTTTTGTAACTATATGTGAGTACCAGTCAGGGGACCCGTGGGGATAAGAAGACACTCTTTAATGAGGATCATTTTAGGAAGATTTAATAAAAGGCTACATACAATGAGTGGACCGAGTGTAAGAAACCACCAGGGCTGTGCCCAGAATGCGAAGGAAAGTCGTTTGCAGACACTGCATTAGCAGAGCTGGAGCCTAGGTGGAGGGACTCACTGGCTGGGCTGGGGGAGGGCCAGAGGATAAAAGTTTAGCTTCTCCTTCCTCCCTCAGATGTCTTGCCCAGGCTCAGGAGCCCCTGGAGGCAGGGAAAAAGGATGAAGGCTGCATCTGCAAGAGGCACATTGAAATCACCTGCAAGACAGGTATGCGAGCAAAGCGAGGCACGCACTCCTGCCGACTTACTTCAGGC